ATTTTTTTTTTTTTTTTTTTTTCAAACGAACGTCGAATGGATGGGGCACGTGGGGGAGAGGGAGGGGGTTCTTCGTTAGATGGAGCCATCGATGATAAATAGAGCGCGTGGATTACGTGTCTCTTCACTTGGAGACGCTGTCTCTATTAGCCTAGTGGACGAAAGAAAAGAAAAGTTCTCCCACCCCCCCATCAATCCCTTATTTATGCAAATGCACGAGACTGTCCGCGCGGAGATTTAATATATGAGGATTGTGACAAGCGTGCGACCGCGACAAGATCTACATCTAAACCTCTGCTTCTCTAAACTCGAAACGGGACATTGCGTCCATTGCGTCCATTGCATCCATTGCGTTTCTATAGCGTGTTGTACAAATTGAGCGGAGATCGGATATGTTAAATCCATTATGTATAAATGAATTATTGTAAATTGGGTTAAATTGTAAACCAATTTCTACTGATGAATAATAAAATATCTTATGAAAAATATCAAAAAGTGTACGTTTATTTTAATTTTAATTTTAATATGTATTATATTATATTATAGGTGGAGTGCGAATGGTTGAAAATGAATCAAAATGGATATTTCGTGAGAAATTTAATTATTATTTAAAAACTTGGAAGATATTATGATACATAGTTGGAATATGGAAAGAATATTTTAAATAAGTTAAAAAAAAATTGCACGAGTTTAAAAACTACTCGAACCCATTACTCCTATCCTATTAAAAAAACAAACAAGTGAGATACAAACCGCTCGAACCCATTGCTATCCATAAACGACAAAAAAAGAATCCCAATTTTACACGTAACTTACTGCGATAAATTAAAAAAAATTGCACGAGTTTACGAACCGCTCGAACCCATCCCTACCCACGAACAACAAGAAACAACAGTTCACGATAATTCGCGGCTGTTTAAAACCCCGCTATCACCGACAATAATTACCTCTTCTGACCTGTTCCGCTCGGACAAGCGGCTAACATTATCAAGGGGTGCAGGGAGGGGAGGGAAAACGGCGCGCAAAGCGTCTCTTGTCGCGAAGAGAAAAGAGGAGAGGGGAGAGGAGAGGAGAGGAGAGAAGAGAAGAGCATAACAGATACACGTGTCCCGGCGGCTCCGCTTTGCGACACGTGATTCATGGGGGTCCCGATACGTTTTTTACACCTGAGACGGCTTTATTAGAATTTCTAATGGAGCGAGTCGAGGGACAGGGAGGGAGGCCGACTGTCCAAGAGAGGACGAGCGGGAGAGAGACAGTGAGCAATGCGGCGAAAGAGTGACACGCGGCCGCGAGGCAATGTGGATCGGGTCGAAAACTCGACTTCTTTCCAAACCGATCCCCCCCTCCTCCGTGGCTCCCTGGAAGGCTTTCATTACGTCAGTCCGGGGATACATCGACATCCTGACGTGATGACTTCGTTATCTCTGCCTCGGTCTTTTTGGCGGGGATCGTCGTATATCAACGACGCGATTCTTTTGGGTGTTTATCCTTGCCACGAAGAGGGAATCGTAATTTTTTGTCGTCCGTTTTCTAGGATATTTCGATGTAAATTTAATCAGAATTCTTTAATACTTACCTTTCAGAGTAAAACAACAATGGGAAATTTATCTGTTTGGATAGGTGTATAAATATTTCTCACAGATATTATTCATAAAAGAAAAATTATGATTTGAAAACATTTTATCTCGAATCTCGATGTACAAATTGAATCGATAATTATTCGATAATTATTTCTCCAGTCCCACTCGAAGGCCGGAAGCACAGCCCCCGAAATCTGGCGCGCAAGAACAAAACCGCATCGCGATGACGAATCCGCAACCGTCTCTGCAATGATCGCGTTTCCACCGACTCGGCGGTGTTTTGCGGTGAGGATGAACCGTGTCTGATCCGCGATCACTTGTCAACCTTCCCCCTTCTCTCTCTATCTTTCTGCTCGAAAGAGTTGGTCGACGTGCGCGCGCGCGCGCATTCGTCCAGGGCACGCCACCGGGACGTGGAAAGAGAGGCCTAGGAAGGATGGTAGGTGTAGGACAAATACCGGGCTCCGAAGTGGCGAATACCGTTGAGGTGGTGGGGATGGCCGCGTACACGAACACAACCGCGAGAGAACTTAAAGTGGAAGAGATAGCCGGCACGGTGGGCGGTGGTGGGGCGGTCGAGGTGGTGGGAGCAAGCGGAAGAAGGGGAGGGGCGGCCGGGGGCGGTCGCGCGCGACAATTCAACAGGAACGGGCGCACTCGCCACATCTGGCGAGCGAGCGACACACTATGCGCTTTTCGCTCGCTTTTCTCTCCCTCCAAAAACGTTTCACGAAAATTCGTAACGTTATACAATCTTCTTATACCAGATTTTAAAAACTAACCACGTAGAACGTACGAATAGTTTATAATTTATAGTTTACGTTTATAGTTTAAGTATAGAAAATAAATCGAATTCGGTAAGTTCGAAAAATGTATCTATTACGTATACACGATTTTAGGTTATGCATTATACAATATTTTTATATCCGTGTATAGAAAATAAATCGATAATTTGGACGGTAACGTAGTTAACTTATATATCTGGTTTGGTATAAACTATAATATTTCACTCTATACTTACTTACTTTTAACGATAGATCGTTAAAATATGAATTTATGTTCCATCCATTAATACTTTTATACACAACTCGTGGAAAATAAATGGAATTTGAAGGATAATAGACACGGTATAAGTATTTATTTACAGATTCATTTAGATATATTTTAAGATCTAGTAACTAGTGCAAGTGCAAGAAGGGAAAGCGGGAAAGGAAGGATTCGGATATTGGGATTTTGATCGCGAAAGAACGCGGAAAATACGCGGATGGGAAAATCGTGCGGACTCTGCGGCACGAAGCAGAGTTTATCCGCGAGAAGCAAAGCGGAGAGAGAGCTCCGCCTCCTCGGCCGTCCCCTTCGCTCCGGGACCCCACCGACACGTCGCTACCCCGCGGTGCCCCCCAGTTTGACCAACTGGCTACTACGTCACACATGCTTCTGCTTGCGGCTCGGGCCGCCAACTTCTCGGGCTCTCCTCTCGACCGGCTCGGCGAGTCGGTTCAGTGAGTTACGAGTTGCGTCCGGGTTCGCCGTACGTGCGATAACGGGGGCGTCAATCGGATCGCGCGATTGGGAGAGGATTCCTAACCTCGTGCACGTTCTCCTCTCTCTTTCTCTCTCTCTCTCTCTCTCTCTTCCTCTTTCGTCCACTATTCTATTTCCGTCTCGCATTGCTCCTTTTCCTTCCTACCTTCGGTCCGTCCCTCTCGTCGTTCGGCAACAGGTTTGAATTTATGGGACAATAAAGAGTGCGGTGCGTAGTGCGCGCGTGTTTCCTCTCTCTTTCTCGCCGCAGAGGGACGGAGAGACAACGAGAGAGAGAGAAAGAGAGAGAAAGAGAGAGAGAGAGAGGGTCTCCTCCGTCTGCGAAGAACAGCGCGGCGGAGACTATCAAACTCTCATAAAACTGTCAGCCGCGGCCGGCCGGCCTGACTTATGCGCGCCCCTTCTCCCATCCGGAAGTGGATCGACGACAGAAGTGCTCCCTCTCTCCCTCCCCCCTCCCCTCTCATTATCCCTACGATTTCACCTCCTCGAAGATCTCGCGGAAATAATAATAATAATAATAATAATAATAATAATAATAATAATAATAATATATAAATTCGGAAGGAGAAGTAATCGGGAAAAACAGGACGCAGGAAGTTCCAGGCGGAGGTTCCAAAGCGATCGCTTTGAGAACGGGGAACCACCTCTTTCTCTTCCTTCTTTTCACGAGGGTGTACGAGGCGGAAGGGGGCGCGTGCGCGCGTTGCCCCCTCGCGGAGACGGCAAACGGAAGACTGTTTCTCGGTGACGTTGCGTTTTACAAGGTTGAAGGAAAAGAGAGAAGCGGAGAGGAGAGAGAGCGAGAGAAAGAGAGAGAGAGAGGGGGGGGGGAGATCCTCGCCCCACCACAACCACCACCATCGTGGCTCCCGAATATCTCTCCATTAGCCCCCCTGACGGTGCTATCCCCTCTCTGTGACCCCTGTGTCTCGCTCGCGCACCCCTCTCGTCGCCTCCTGTCACGTCGGCCAGCGGCACACGGGCACCAGCGCCGGCAGCACCGCCACACAAACCCGTCGGAGACGTAAGGAACGGGGTTGAAGAATCCTACGCCGGCGGAGAGACCAATCAAGGTTTGACGAACGACGGGGATTGGTCGAGGCGCTCCTCTGACACGCAGAGAGCGCGGGCACGTGACAAGCTACCGCACACACACCGTTGGGGCCTCCGTTGGATCGTGGCGAGGCCTTCAGTACGATACCAACCACCCTCCGCGCACGCAACAGGGACACGAGCCGCGGCAATAAAGCTTCACCCCCCTGATGCGAGGAGGTGATACCGGTGCACGAAGAGACCGATTATTTTCCTCGTTCGACTTTGTTTCGCAAGCGAGCAACAACAACAACGACGATCGCAGTTTTTTCTTCGAGGCGTTCGGTTTACTCGCGGATCTCGCTGTTCTCGAAGGGATTATAATAAAACGATAGACACGACGGGACACACAAGTGAAGGATAATATAAGAGGGAATAAGAGAGAAGTGCATGGGGGTCTCGTCTTCAATGGGGCGACCCGATAAGCCGGCCGTTACGCGCTACTGCACGCTGCCTCGACGAGTTCTCTGTAGGTAATTGCGAGCCGTGAGGTCGTAAAGAAGCGAGAAGACAGTTTTATAGCCCAGGCCCACGTGGCCCTCGTAAAACTCGACGCACAGGTCGCCTCGGCTCTTTCTCTCTCTCTCTTTCTCTTTCTCTCTTTCCCTCTCGTCTTTCCCCTCTTTCTTTCCTTCCTTCCTTCTTTCCTTCTTTCCTTCCTTCCTTCCTTCCTTCCTTCCTTCCTTCCTTCCTTTCTTCCTTCCTTCTTTCCTTCCTTATCGAATATCGTTTTTTTTTTAAAGGTTTCGTGTTTGTACAACGAGCACAAGTGTGAACACAAGGAGAATAGAGCCTACTCTAAGTTCAGTTCAGTTGTGTGACATGTTCGACTACCGTACGCGGTTATTATCCTCGTCGTGAGATCGACACAGGGATGGCATAGTCCGTTTGAAACGACGTTTTCGTGTGCGCGCGTTTTACCTTCTCGCCGAGAAGAATCGAAGGAAAGAAGAGAAATAAGAGAAGAAAACGGAGTGTTGTTCGATCTTTTTGTGGAAGAAGAACAAGGAAACCCTTGCCGCGTTTGTGTCTCTCCCTCTCTCTCTCTCTCTCCCTCTCCCCGGTGAACCATGAGCTCCTATCAGTTCGTCAACTCTCTGGCGTCGTGCTACGCGGGCCAACAGGCCCAGCAGCAGCCACGGGCCACCGCCAACTCGCCCGGGGAGCCGTTGCAGGCCGCCTCGCCCGCCGGTGGCGATTATTACAACCCGAACGCGGCCACGACCAGCTACCCGGCCCCGTGCTACTCGCCCCAGCAACACTATCCTCAGCACCCGTACGCGACCCCCGCGTCGGGCATGCAACACACCGCCCCCACGGGCATGATAGACTACACGCAGTTGCAGCCCCAGCCCCGGCTGAGCGCGGCGGCAACCACGCACAGTTTGCACCAGCAGGCGCAGCAACAGCACCATCCGCAACAGCACCATCCCCAGCAGCAGCAGCAGCAGCAACAGCTCCACCAGGACCCGACCGCGCCGCTTCTCCAGGCGGCGTCGGCACCGTCCGCGCCCTCCGCCTCCAGCTGCAAGTACGCCGACTCCACAGGCTCGACCGGCGTCGCGTCGCCCCAAGATCTGACCACGTCCACCTCGAGGAACAGTCCCACGCCGCTTGTCGCGGCCGGCACCAGCAAGGCGGTGGGCACCGCGGGCCTCACCTCGCCACCGGGGGCCTCCTCGAGGTCCTCGGTCGCGGCGTCCGCCGCCGCCTCGCCCGCCAGCGGCAGCTCCAGGCCCCAGGAGGGTAGTTCCGCCCTCACCACGGCCTCCTCCGCCTCCTCGCCCGCCTCCTCCACCTCGAGCACCTCCAGCACCGGCAACAACTCGTCCAACAAGAACAATCCAACGGGGAACGAGCCGCCCAAGATTTACTCGTGGATGAAGAGGGTGCACATCGGCCAGAGTAAGTTTTCTTTCTTCTTTCGAAAATTTCTTTTTTTTTTTTTCGGCTCGGTAAGCATAGGATTTTCTTTTTAAATTCGGTGAATTTTTCGTCGAGGGTGTCGAGCTTCCCTCCTCGATTCGGTCAAGGGGCAGTGTTTCTTTTCTTCAACCCCCTGCCAAGGGAGGCGTGCACGTGTTCTTGCTCGGCGAGGGGGGAAGGAAGTTCGAATTTCGAAAAATTCTCGTGTTTCTTGGAACACGAGGGGAAACACGGAGGGAGCACGTTCGAAGCTGTAAATCTATGCAACGTTCTCAATCATTATTGCAATCGAAAGAATATATAGAGGTAATAAAAGTGAGGTTTCCTCGAAACGTGTGCTTTAAAAACACGTTCGAATTTCGTATATATGTATTGCAAATACAATTTGTAAATATATACTCACGCGTTGTTTAGAGAAAAGCGTCGTGGAAAAGTATGAAGCCGGTTGATTTGTGGATCGACGACGAGGAAATTTGTGCCAGTGTGTCATAACAGGAATCCGATTTCTTGTTGGTCGCGCGATTATTTCCCTGTTTAAATCACGGCTGAAATGTATCTTCGACCGATTATAAATTTCGACACTCTTCCCTCGTCCATACATTGAAAAATTTCTGTTTGAAGATTGATAAAAAAAGATCTTCTATACGTCTTGCAAATAGTCAAAAATTAGCTTGAAAATCGACGTAGTTTCTATTGCATCGAATCTTGGAAAGATTTTCATTCATTCGCAGCATCCACTCGCGGAGATCGAGTCCTCGAATTTTACGTTCGAAAAGTCGGAGAAAGTAGCGAGAGAGAAAATAATTTCCACTCCCGGTATTTATCACATTTGACGAATACTGGACAAAATATTCTCAAGAGTATTCTTGAACCCGTAGGTAATTCGAATTTTATTCGATATTATTCGAGAGCGATCGATTTTATTATCACACGTATTCGTATTTTCATCGTTCACCTCACCGAGGTGTAAATTAGCCCAGTCGCAAATGTTGGACACGTTTATAACGCGTAATGATCGGCGATATGAGTGATAGATGATGTATGTGCAAAAATAGAAAAATAACGTCGCAGTTATTTCGTTTCTATTAGCAAACGTACAATTTACAAATCTTGGATAATTGAAAAACTTGGATGGAAGAGAGAGAGAATTTTATTCAATTATATTAAAGGAAGAAAATTAAAGGATATTAAAGGAAGGAAAATATTGCGATAAATTTAATTTTTCTTAAAGAAATGCAGAAACGACAATTCGAGTTGAAGTTGTTGTCGTTTTTTTGTAGCCAAAAAATCAGGAGTCAAAAGTGGGATTGGAATAATATAGAATAAACGTTTAAGATTTTGAAGAGATAGACGGATGATGGATGATGGATAATTAAGGGGGATACAGAGCCGATAAGAGTCGTTGAAAGACGAAATTTCTGTGTTTAGCTGGAATTTTTTTGTTGCCAGAATCGGGATCTCTCGATAACCGGTTAAAAATTCGATATTCTATATAAAAGTTTCCCGTTTTCTTCTGACAAGAAATTATGAACGCGAAACGAAATGGATAAATCACCAGCCGGAGGAGGCGAGATTCTTAGGAGGTGAAACCAACTAGTTGTAACCAAATTACGAAATGCTAAAAAAACTCGCCATATTTAATAATCCTTAAACACATTCAACATATTATTATTAATAACACTTTCGATTTTCGTAATTAAATTATATAACCTACCAGCTAGAATTCTCTCCAATCTTTAAAAAAAAAAAAAAAAAAATGTACTCGCTTTTACTCGCGTTGCGAGAGGAAGAGATTCAATTCTTGCAAAAATTAAGCAAGAAATTTTAACCGCTTTTAAAAAAATCCATATTATAATACATCCAACGTGTACCCACGCGTCTACCACTCGTTCACGTCTCTGTTCACGCCAATACCAAAAGAGCGATTGCATAAAAGACGGAACACGGAGAGAACAAATACGAAGAAATAAACAGACACAAATCTAACTTCAAACCTAACCTAACTCTCCTCCAATAGGAGAGACAGAACAAGAATCTTATAGGCTTTCTCAACATCAGAATGTTGCACAAAAAAGGAACATAACGTTCCATTTAAGAAAATAAAGATAACCTCGAAACCGACGCAAAAAATGCTCGCATCGCGATATACCTGCCCCCCTCCCTCCTCCTCCTCTCCCCTCTCCTCTTCTATACAATTTCACATGCAATATTTTTCTCGTCGTATTACCACGAACATACCAACAACAACAAGTTTTTTAGTGTCCACTCAGCGTACACGTAGAAGGGAAAACGCGAGTGAAATTAGTGAAGAGTGATTCTTAAGCGCGGTCCAAGAGGAGGAGGATCCACCTGCCCCCGTGCGCGGTTCACACAGGAGATAAGACAGCGAGGGAGCTGTGGTCGGTCGCGTTCACATTAGTCGCACCGTGGTGATTTACTGCGCGGCCAGTATGATTCAGTCAGCGGGGAATTTGACGAAGAATTAATGGTATTATGATATCGTGTGTAACTCTACGTATGCGCGCCCGGCCCATAAATCAGGCTGCATTGTGAGGCGCGGGGAGGGGGGGNGGAGGGGGGAGGGGGCCCTCCCCCTCCTCTCTTCCCCTTCGCTCCTTCTTCGCTCCGTCTCTCTCTCTCTCTCTCTTTCTCTCGGTTTCGGCCGGCTCCTCGACCCTCTCGAGCGTCTGGCCTCTCACGAACGAAGGCCGAGGGACCCATTCGACGGACCTCCCAAACGGGGATAAACGAAAACCAAAGAGCTCGTTTCCACCGCCTCGAGACTTCCTCTCCGTCCGCTCACGCCTCCTCCGCCTCCTCTCCCTCTCTCGAGCTTCGAGTTCACGGGAGAAATTTTCGAAAATTCGTGGCTGTTCGAGGGATTGGTTTAACGATTATCGATGAAGATTTGGGGGAAATTTAATAGTTGTAACTGTGCTTTTTTCTTTCTTTCTTTCTTTCTTTTCTCAACAGAGTGGGACACTGTTAGTTGCTGGAATAATAGGTGATTCCTTATTTTTGCTTATGATTATTATATGATATTATGATTATATATATTATATTTTTTGATTATGAGGATTCAATTTTCTCGAGATTCTGCTATGGTTTAAAATCAAAACAAATTGTAATTTTATTTTTCTTTCACACCATTTAATAGTCATCGTTCAAACCATAATAAGAATCGCAAATAATATGAGAAGGTTATACATCGATTAATAATAACCGTTTCAACGAGTGGATTAACTGAAAGTAACTTTATGTTTAACCCGACAAGTTACCTGAATTATTATTCGAATGGACCAAATGAAATATTCAATACACTGCTTCCTTCCTTGCTTTGATCACGCGTTATTAAAAAGACGTATGGAAAGTGTGTACGCTCGAATTGGTCAGATTAATATCCAGAGAGAGAAAGAGAGAGAGAGAAAACCAAATTTAGAAGCGGCGCTCGCTCGAGCGTCACAACAGGCGTCTCTTCATAGTTGAAAACGGCAAATCTTTTCCACGTCTAAGCTTGCTAGGCTTAATTGCTTGCTTAACTCGAGAGAGAGAGAGAGAGAGAGCATCGGTAAATGCAACCGCTGATAACCGCGTGTCGCGAATAACGAAGGGAAGGGAAAGGAATCGTAAATCACTAAAAGTCCTTCTCGTCAAAGGGTGAATTGTGTCTGAGATAATTACGTTAGACGAGCATCGGCTCGTCCGTGTCTCCCGTAAACGATCCTCGAAGCAAAGGGCTCGTTGTAAGCCCGGTCTCTTCCAAAACCAATCCTCTAAACTCTGTCTCGCAACTCTGTTGGAGACTATTGAAATTTACACAAGGGATTTTTACTTTATCCGCTTGATGGACGCGTTTGACAATAACGATTTGATACTCGAGCGCATTTGAGTGATACGGACGAATTGGAAATTGTATTTGCAATTTTATGAATTTGATGAATCGAAAGTAGAATTTTCTGAGAAATTTATTCTGAATTGTGGATATTTTCATTTTTGAGTAAACTTTTCAGAGTTGAATCAAAAATAAAATTTTAAAGGAATGAGAAATTTATTTTAAATTGTGGACATTTTCATTTTTGAGTAAATGTTTCAGAGTTGATTTGATGAATCAAAAATAAAATTTTAAAGGAATGAGAAATTTATTCTGAATTGTGAACATTTTCATTTTTGAATAAACTTTTCAGAGTTGAATCAAAAATAAGGTTCTAATGGAATAAGAAATTTATTCTGAATTGTGGACATTTTTATTTTTGAGTAAACTTTTCAGAGTTGAATCAAAAATAAGATTCTAATGGAATAAGAAATTTATTTTAAATTGTGGGTATTTTCATTTTTGAGTAAACTTTTCAGAGTTGAATCAAAAATAAAATTTTAAAGAAATGAGAAATTTATTTTAAATTGTGGACATTTTTATTTTTAAGTAAATTTTTCAGAGTTGATTTGATGAATTAAAAATAAAATTTTAAAGAAATGAGAAATTTATTCTGAATTGTGGACATTTTCATTTTTGAGTAAACTTTTCAGAGTTTTAAATTGATGAATCAAAAATAAGATTCTAAAGGAATGAGAAATTTATTTTAAATTGTGGACATTTTCATTTTTGAGTAAACTTTCCAGAGTTGATTTGATGAATCAAAAATAAGATTCTAAAGGAGAAATTTATTTTAAATTGTGGATATTTTCATTTTTGAGTAAATTTTTCAGAGTTGATTTGATGAATCAAAAATAAAATTTTAAAGAGAATGAGAAATTTATTCTGAATTGTGGACATTTTCATTTTTGAGTAAATTTTTCAGAGTTTTGAATTGATGAATCAAAAATAAGATTCTACTGGAATGAGAAATTTATTTTAAATTGTGGACATTTTCATTTTTGAGTAAATTTTTCAGAGTTTTAAATTGATGAATCAAAAATAAGATTCTAAAGGAATGAGAAATTTATTTTAAATTGTGGATATTTTCATTTTTGAGTAAGCTAAA